CTAGCATTTAGTAAACCGAATGTTTCAAAAACAGATCTGGATGTCATTAGAGGTGTACATTGATGACATGCTTATAAAATTATTAAAAGCTGAGCTCCACATCGAGCACCTTGAGGAATCTTTTTAAATCCTCAAAAAATACCAGATGAAGCTCAATTAAGTCAAATGCGTCTTTGGGGTCTCAGTCGAAAAATTCTTAAGGTTCATAGCCAACAGTAAAGGAATCAAGGCAAACCCAAAAAAATTCAAGGCATTAATAGACATGCAACCTCCTTCTAATACTAGAGAAGTCCAACGCCTAACAGGGAGAATTGCAGCCTTAATTTGCTTTGTATCCAGGTCAAGCGACAAGTGTCAACCCTTCTTTCAGGTCTTGCAGAAAGCTTTCAAATGGGAGGCACAGTGTGAAGAGGCATTCAAAGTCGTTAAAGATTACCTCAGTAGGCCCCCAATTCTTGTAAGCCCGAGGGAAGGAGAAGTGCTCACCCTATATCTTGTTGTTTCAGACTTCTTAACCATTGCGGCGCTCGTTAGAGAGAAAGACAAAGCTCAACAGCCAGTCTACTAATGCACCAGAGCTCTAGTGGACAGAGGAAAGATATCTGAAAATGGAGAAACTAATCCTAGCTTTAGTCACGGCAGCAAGAAGGCTGAGACCTTCAAGCTCACACCATTGAAGTCCCTACAGACTAACCAATGAACAGGTATTACACAAACCAGAGTCCTCAGGAAAGCTAATAAAATGGGTAATAGAGCTCAGAGAAACCCATAATAGCAATCAAAGGGTAAGTGCTAGCAGACTTTATTGTAGAATTCACCACAGCCCCAAAAGCATCCACGGAGGTGGCCCAACTAGTACCCAACCTCCCCACATGGAAGCTTTGAGGCAGAATACGATGCCATCATCACCGGGTTCAATTTGGCGCACTTAATGGAGGCAAAACAGCTTGTAATCTACAACGACTTCCATAAAACATATTAAAGAGATTTACGAGGCTAGGTTAGAGAGGATGATCTTATACCTAAAAAAAGTACAAGAGTTAATAAAAAGTTCATCCAAATTGAAATCAAGCATGTCCCCGAGAAACTCTTGAACAGACGCTTTAGCAAAGCTTGCCACTGCCTCCTAGGAAAGCCTGGACAGATTAATCCTAATTGAACACCTATCTAAGCCATCTGTAAGCCATGGAGATGGAGAAGTATTTCCTGTATTAACCCAGCCAAATTGGATGGACCTAATTAGAGAATACCTTTAGAATGGAACCTTGCCAACAGTTCCCAAGGAAGCCACAAAGCTCTTGCAAGAAAACCTGTATAAGCAAGGCTTCTCGGCGCCTCTCCTGAAATGTGTAGGGGACGAAGAAGTTGACTACATCCTAAGGGAAATCCGTGAAGGCATTTGCAGCAATCATATCAGAGCTCGAGCTCTGACAGGTAAAACACTAAGACAAGGACATTTCTGGGCCACTTTGCTCAATGACGTCGTAGATCTAGTTAGAAGATGTAAGACCTGTCAACTACACATCAATGTCCCACATTGTCCTCCAGAGCTCCTTACCTCGGTGGTGAGCCCCTAGCCCTTCCAACAATGGGGACTGGACATACTCGGGCCTCTTCCAATTATTACTGGACAGTGCAAGTTCGCTAATATTGGGGTAGATTATTTCACCAAATTGGTAGAAATGGAGCCCTTGGCGACAATTACAGAGCAAAAAGTTCAAAACATCACCTGGAAGTCCATAATCTATGGTTCGGAATTCCCAGGGCGATCGTCTCAGACAATGGCAAGCAGTTTGACAATCCGAAGTTCAAAAAGTTCTGCGTCGAACTGGGTATAAAGAATTACTTCTCTGTCCAAGCTCATCTCCAGTCAAATGGGCAAGCAAAAGTAACTATTCGAACCCTAAAGGCAGCTCTGAAGACCAAACTGGAAGTCCTGACAGGGCGATGGGTGGAGCACGTCCCAAAGGTGTTTTGGGCTTACAAAGCTACACTTAAGTCGGCGACTTAAGAACGTCGTTCGTTTTAATGTTCAAAACCGAGGTAGTGGCTCCTATAGAGGTCGACATTCCATCCCCAAGGGTAGAGCTCTTAGAACCTGAATACAATGATGAGTCACTTTTGCTCAACCTGGACCTCTTAGATGAAAAGTGGGATAAGGCCTTGAAATGCATTATGAGTTACCAAAGGAAAACAGCCAGACACTACAACAAGAGGGTCAAGCACAAAAGCTTCAAAGTCAGAGATCTTGTACTTAAAAAGCTTCTTCCTACAAGAAGGATCCTACTCATGGAAAGTTAGGACCTAATTGGGAAGGCCCTTACATCATTTCAAAGATAGTCAGACCTGGGAACTACGAGCTACACATGGAGGAAGGAAATGTTTTGCCCCACTCTTGGAACGCAAAACACTTGAAGAGATTTTTTCAGTAAACCCTTGTAAAAAGGTCATCATCAATAAAGTGACAAGTTACAGCTCAGTCAACATTTCGTTGGTATAAGATGAGCTCTTCAGCTCATAAAAACACGATGAGTTCTTCAAATCATAAATATAAGATCAGTTCTTCAACTCATAAACCATTGATGAGCTCTTCAGCTCATAAATATAAGATGAGTTCTCCAACTCATAAACAGTTGATGAGCTCATCAACTCATAAAAACATGATGAGCTCTTCAGCATAAGTATAAGATGAATTTTTCATCTCATAAACAATCGATGAGCTCATCAGCTCATAAAAACCTGATCAGCTATTCAGCTCATAAATATAAGATGAGTTCTCCAACTCATAAACAATTGACGAGCTTTTCAACACATAAAAACACGATGAGCTCTTCAACTCATAAATATGATATAAGTTCACCGACTCATAAATGAACGATGAGTTCTTCAACTCATAAACAATCAATGAGCTCATCAGCTTATAAAAACCGAATGAGCTCTTCAGCTCATAAATATAAGATGAGTTCTCAAATGAGCTCTTTGTCTCATAAAAATTCGATAAGCTCTTCAGCTCATAAATATAAGATGAGTTCTCAAATGAGCTCTTCGGCTCATGAAAACACGGTGGGCTTTTCAGCTCATAAATATCAGATGAGCTCTTCATCAAGCATCAGCTCATCAGTTCATAAATATAGGACCATCTCTTCAAGCAAAAGATGGGCCTTTCAACCTATAAGGGATAAGCTCCCCAGGCCATATAATAAGAGCTCCTAGCAGACAATCTTGTTGGAAAATTCAGAACATAATTCCCTTAGAAATTCAATGTCGATTCAGCTTTCCACATCAACAGGGCTTCTCAGCCTAGACACCGCGACTATCAAAAATAAAGTAATAAGCAAGGTATCCCACAAAAAAAGTAATTTTTATTCATAAGTATGACAGATTATAAGGAGAAGAAAAGAAAATTTTCTAAGACCCTCCAAGCCTACTCTTTAGCTTAGATATTTCCTCCTCCAAACAAGCATTCACAGCTTGTAGATGAGCATTCTCATCCTTCAGCTCATTACACTCCCTCTCCAACTTTGTAAGTTTCTTTGCAAGTTTCAGCTCAGCAGTAGAAAACAAAGCACCGTCAAAAGAAAAACTAGATGACTGAGGTAAGGAGCTGCTCCTCCTACATTTCCTCGAAGAAGTGGCAACACCCTCATCCTTATCTAACTCAACAAGAGAGGAATTTACATCAAGAACATGAGAAAGAGGGCATAAGAGAAGGTTCTAGGGAGTGACTAGCGATGAGAAGGGGACAGCCTCGACATGAGCCACTTGGCTGACCATCACCAACTTCATCGGGGGTTAGACTGGGGACACCTGCATAGTGAAAGCACAATAAGAATCAATCATAATGTCGAAAAATTATAAAAGGGTAGATCCTGAGCCTCTATCTCTATTAGAGAAACACCCTAAAGAACGAGGGACCCAGGAACGTGTGTATCACTGCTCAACAGACCTCCAAGAGTCCCTAGAGGAAAAGAAAAAGTGTTGAGTCCACCCTTTAGGAGAGTTAGGAACATTAAGGATCAACATAGGATCGAATTGACGCCTCTATATGAAGTGACTGAAGTAGGGGGCATGTTATAATCAAGTTTATAAAAATAGAGAAACTCAGCAACAGTAGGAAACTCACTATTGCCTAGCAGGCACCAAAAAATAAAGAAGATTATCATAGCTCCCCAACCTTCAGGAGAAAGACAAGAGAGGCACAACCCAAAGAAGGCCAAAATCCACCCTATAGTAGGATGGATGGGCAAACGAAGAGCCATCTTGAAAGCACCTCCAAAAATGAAAATTTCTTTTCGAGGGAGAAAATTGCAGGCTCATCGTGGGTTGAGACTCGGAGGGATAATCCAACAGATGGAAGGTACTACCTCCTGACTTCTTCTAACTTTGACGTTGTAACCACATAGGGAAGCAGGAAAGTAGAGTACCACTCCATGTCAATCATGGCTTGGGCTCATTGTTTGAACAAAGGAGTAAGAGAAGAAACCATGAAAGCCAGAAAGAAAGCGAAAGACGAAGGAAGTTTCAGAAAAAATTTTAGGGACATGAAGAAGAAATCTCAAGTTTTGTGAAGGTAATAAGAAATCCCAAATTTTATGGATATAATAGGGAATCCCGAGTTTTAAGGGAGCAAGAAATGATAGTTCACAAATTGAAGACAAACTCGTCAGCTCATAACAAGGAGCCCTCCAGCTCATTGAGCTCCTCAGCTCACAAGGTCCCTTCAAATCGCAGAAACAAGACCAGCACATCGACTAAAACCAAGTCTGGGCTCTCGACAGGGGTAATCAGACCTCATACTTGCAAAATCCACTTTAAGAAGAACTAAGTTCTCCTTGAAACAAGGGGCAAAGGGGGGTAGGCAGAACAAAAGAACATTACAATCAGAAATACAGCAGTCGAAAAGTAAAAACACGAGTGCTGGACAAAAACATCTTTCATTTCAAAAAAAAGAGTTGGTTACAAAGTCTTTTAATAAAAAGAAAACAAAATACAGGGGAATCCTAAACCCTTGCATTCGGATCAGTGATGGGCTCAGGCAACTCATGAAGATCTTGAGCCATAGTTAGAACAAAGTCATCTAGAGCATCAAGCAGCTCAGGAAGCTTAGTATGCTGAAAAGCAACAACTGAAGTAAGATCAAAAGGAGCCACAGAAGTAGCTAAATCTAAGACTAGCTATTTCTCAACACCAAAGCAAAAACCTCAGATGGAGGAACAGGCACCTCAGCACCTGCTGCAGCAAGCTTAGAAACTTGAACTTTATACACTATAGCCTCATCCACCTCTGAAGCAGCAGGATCAAAGACCTCTACCTCCTTCTCAACACTTGACTTCTCTTTCTCCTTATCCAAAGGAAGTTCAAATTCGAAGTCCAGGTCTGGATATGCCTCCACAGCTTGACCCTGAAAAGCAAGGTACCTAGTGGCCCAGTTGGTAGTAGCTTTGTCCTTAAGCTCAGTAATTAGAGCATCCTTTTCCCAGTCTGTCGCCTTCTCAGCCTCGAACTCCTTCAGCAGAGTAGCATTGACCTCGACCAACATGTTATACTCTTGTTTCATGGTTTCGTAGGATTCAAAGGCCTTAAAGGCATCCTTCCGATCCTGAAGCAGGCTGTCTGTTTTCGCTTTGAGCTCCTCATTTGCCTTCTTAGCCTCCGCCTCTAGGCCCTTATTAGCTGAGGTCAGCTCCTCAACCTGAGCCTCAGGTCGCACATCTTGGCCTTGAGATCATCATTGGTGAAGGCCAATTTAGCAACCTTGAGTTCAGACTCCTTCAAATACTTTCGAGCTAGCTTGGATCCTCTTCACCAGAGCACTTACGTGGATGGCAAGCTAAATACGCACAAGAAAAAGTCAAAGTCAGCAAAAATTACCTCAAATTGAAGCAGAAACAAAACTTAAAGAAATCAAGACTTACCGAGGCAATTGCATACAAAGTCGTAGTGGCAGAGGTATGCAAAAGGATCATCGAGGCCTCTACAATGTTAGATTCAGGAATAACTGAGGCAATGGCATGAGCGGCAAGGCCCACATCTCCAATAAGTGAACCTTTGCCCTTATCAACTTTTGCCAGTAAACCCTCCACTCGTAAACAAGGACTCTTCTTGATAGACTAGGAAGAGAAAGACCCTCATAAGAGAGGAGCTATGGACTCCAGAGCTCTGGAGACTTCTACTGACGAAGGGGAAAATGAGGTCCCTACACTACCAGTGGACCCTTCAACGAGAGGAGGAAAGACCCCTTGAGAAGAAGAGGTTATAATTTCCTTCTATGAAATCAGCAAGGGCGGAATGATCTCTTGAGGTGGAGAAGAAGGTGGAGGCACCTTTGTCCTCTGCACCTTTGGAGGAGGTTCAGACCTAGATCCTACTCTAACCTTGCACATAGTTTTGCCTTGTATCTCAGCAATCTTAGTTTTCACAACCTCGGCATATGGAGCCATTTAGTTGGAACTTAGAAAGCCAGAATGTACAGGTCAGCAAGAGGGCAAAAAGAAATGTGAGGGAAGCTTAGAATTGAGTCCTCCCTGCAAGTCCTTCTGCACCAACTATGAAAATAAGAATAGGAGTCTCAACCCTCACCTCGAGGGGACTAAACCCAAATTTATTAAGCAACTTAGGCTTGATAAAGCTTGGAATATCTCTGTGGCTCACAATTCTCCAAGCCCAGTACGATGATCTCATCCTCAGCACTAAGCTCGAGTCGAATACCTAAAACGAACAAGCAGAACAAGCAAAACAAAGTCAACAGAATGAAGCGCTGAGGCTGATCCAAGCCTACTCAGGTAGGGCTTACCTAGATTATCAGGGGCAGAGAAGCCTGAGGAACAGGGAGGGTATGAGCTGCTTCTTTTGGATATTACTCCCATTCTCTCCCAGATACGAAGAAGAAAAGCTTCTTCCAACCCTTATGGGAGTTCGGGAGGTCAGTACTAAAAATATGGGACTTCACCTACTTAGCTATATACAAAAATCCGTCAGAGGGGGTGACCTTGATTTTGAAGAAATTCATAGCAATGGCACTTTTGGGCCACCTAAATTATTCTTCTTAAAGTAAACAAGGACAGGGTTGGAGAAAGGGAGATAAAAAGAGCAATAAGGAAAAGGAACGTTAGCAAAACAATCTATGAGGGTCGAAGGGTCAAGACACCAACGACCAATAAGGAAGATTAAGTGTTTGAATAAGGATCCACAAAAAGGGGAAAAAAGACAAGGAATAACCTTGATTCCTAAAGTAACAAAAAGTGAAAGGACAAAAATGTAACAACCACCTCGGATTTAAGGGATCCATAATGAAGATATAAACAAAGCAAAGAAGGGTACCTAACCAAAAATTGAGTGACAACCCAAATCTTAAAGCGAATTCAGAGAGATGACAAAAGCAAGCCTCGCTGAATCTTAGATCCGAATTGGGGGGTTTTTCAAATAGAGCCCTAGATCTCCAACAAATTAGGGAGTTAACATCGCAAAGGGAAGAAGAGAGAAAGCAAAGTCTAGAAAAAGAACTTGAAAGGCGAAGAAAAACGGCTTTTCATCTGCAACAGCATTTAAAGCCAAACGTACGTGGACCCTCGAAATATGGGACGTGCACAAGAAACAAGGAAAAATGATTACATGTTCGCCATAACCGTCAAAATGGAGTCCCATTGCACATGAATTAAAGTCGACCCATGGCGATCTCACTTAACCCAGCAACAGCTCAATACTTGTTCAAACAAACAATTTTAACCAAGGACTAGGGGCAACTAATGATGCCTAAAAAACCTCAAGGCTAAGCTCGATTATTCATATCAGGTCGGGAGCCCAGTAACATAAAAACCTCAAGCTCCCTTAGTCCGCACCTTAGAAGAAGCAGAGTGGAAGACAGTTGGCAACCACCAAGCTTCTTCTCAAAGGAAACAAGCACCAGTCCACCATGTTCGCAAGTCCCGCATTACTCCGCATAACCACTACATAAATCAAGAAAAACGTTATATAAGGGAGGCGAAGATCACGCTTCAAATTCAGCTAAGCTCAAAATTTGCTATAAATACTGTACAAAGCCCTCGCTAGGGAGCAAGTAGGGAGAGCTTTATTGAACTACTGTATAACTCTCATTTTTATCAATATATTCCTCAGGACTAAGAGACTCCATTGAATAGTAGATTAGTCGTGCTCCCGAGCTGGTGAATCACTATAATTCTTTTGTATAATTGACCTTATTCCCCTAAATTCTTGTTCCCAAGAGCCTTGAAACTCAGATTGAATCCTTCGGTGCACATTGCATTCTCTATTCTGCTCAGTTGCATTATACACATCCTCATATGCGTTATATTTATCGACGTTTGATAATTTTTATATTTTATGAATCTTTAAGTATCAAATACAATGTTGTAAATTTAAATATATTATTTTATTTTTATTAATTAGGAGAAAATTTTAAAATTTTTTGAATGAAGTCCCAACCTAGACATAATTTTTTAACTCCGCCACTATATAGCAGGAAATTAATATAAAGGTTAAATATATGAAAGAAATTAAAATGATTACCAAACATGTTTTGTGTTTTAGGTTTCAGATTTTTTAAAACAAAAATTGTAACCAAAACACATTTTTTGTTTTAACTTTTTATTATAGAAAAAAATAAAAAATAATTATGTTTTTATTTTTTAAAAAAATATAAAAACAAAAACTTTATCAAATATAACCAAATACTTCACTTAAAAAAGCAAAAATAAGCATTGGAAATCCAAATTTCAAAACAAGGTTAGTCCAGTTTCGTCAATTACCTATTCACAATTGCTCCACAATCCTATCACAAAATTAAACGTAGCCATTAGTGAAGGGGAGTTTCCACTAGCATAAATTCTATTATTTGAAATACAACACTCTTATCCCTATTTTGGATTTTACGGGGTGGGAAAAGGGAAAAAAAAAAATCGAAGGACCACCCCGTGCCATTCCATATAGGCCTCATATAAGCAATATGTTGAATCTTAGTATAGGAATTACATGACAAGCATTAGCATACGACATTTTAGCATGTTGCAAGTCTTCCGCATTTTTAAGTAAAAAAAAAACTCTTATTTTTTTTTATTTTATCAAGTCAATATTTATCAAAAATAGAAAATGAAAAAATTATCAAATAGTTTATGAAATTTTGTTTATGTTTTTTAAAGTTCTATAATCTTACCACATAGGAAAAAAAAATACCAAACAACCTCTAAATTAATGTAAGGGAGAGGATACACTAATTATTTTGAAAGTTAAATGAGTTAGTCGTAATCTAAAAATGGCTGGTGGTAGGGGAGAGGAGAAGGTGTTTTCATTTACCAACGAGAGGGGCATTTTTACGTTATTCAATGGTACTTTGGAATTTTAAATTTTTAATATATATCATGAAAGATTAAAATTTTTATATTTCATCCTTAACTAAAAAAAATTATAGTAATGTAATTAAAAATCAAAACAAGTGTTATTTTGTCTGATAATATTTTTCCTATATTTCTTATGTCTTTTTATTTTTGCATATAATTATTTATATTATTCAAATTTATGTATATAACATAAAATTTTGTACTTAATTTCATTAAACCGGAGCAAGTTGTTCCCCCTTTTATTTTGACTGAGGGCATAATTAATCGCTTAATGGCAAGAACTGTATGGTTCGGTTACTCCCCAACTCCAAAGCTTACCTTTGGAGCACCTCGTGTAAATCGATGCAATTCTGAGTCTTTAAAGCTACATGCGTCTTTCTTCGATTTTCCACTTGCAAGCAAAATCATACTCAGAAGTAAGTGGTCTCACTCTCTTTGCTCTTAATGTGTGCCTATGTTGTATTTCTTCACTTGTGTGCAGATTTGATTTGCCTTGTGGGTTTTCTTTGAGTCTGATATGAAGGTCTGACATTGTACCGATCGTTTTCATTTTGTTGCATTGTACATTTAATTGTTCTAGCATCTGGGTTTTGTTTTTTTACACTATATATAGATAAGTAACTTGTCGCCTACTATGTGTTTGATGAAAAGAACTGGGAAAGAGCAGAAATATAATTTATTCTTTGACAACGTATGTTTTTTATTCTGTAAATGCTGTTGATGCGAATTTTCTATCCAGGGTGTTAAACACAAAAAATGATGAGTGATTGTGCGATTGTGTGTAGAAGAGCCTATATCCCACATTTTCTATAACCAAGTGTAAGAAATTCTCCAAGGGTGGTGGATCTAATCATTCCTTTCCATGAGAGGTTAGTTTGAAACCTAAAGTCCTCCCAACTATTTCATGTGATCAAGGCCTCTGGAGAGCATCCTAACAAATTGATAACATTAGAGGCAGTGGCAAATAATTCCGATTTGGTGTCATATGTCTATTTGGCATAGGCAAATTATTCGTTGTTGGCTTGTTCGGGCTATGAAGGTGTGTAGGAATTCATTTTTTAAATTACTTATGTTGTCATGGTCATTCCTAAATCTTCTTGCGGTGTTCGAGGAGAGGATGTGAAACAAGCGTGGAGGTGTGGCAGTGGCTTCCCTTTCTCTGTCTTGGAGCATTTGGTTGGAGGAGCACTAGAGGCACTTTGAAGGAGAGGAGGCACAGTTGAAGAAGAGCTTTGTTAGACTTCTTTTTTTTTTTTTTTTTTTTTTTGTAGGTACCTATCTAGCTACTATAGGTTCCTTTCTACCTTTTCAATTTGCCTGCACTATGGACATAAATTCTCCGTTGCTTTACCCTCTAGATTGAAAATCTTATTAGATGCAAGATTTTGGTACGATGAATGAGTCTCCCCAGTCCTAGTGTTGCTAAAAGCTTGAATTAGTGTTGGATAGTATGGGGATGAATCGAATTAGTGTGATTCGGCTAACTGAATCACCCTGCAAATTATCAGTCCCCTTGCCTAGTTTGCACAGACAAGTAGTCCTCTGCAAATTGCTTAACTTTGGCCTAGTGGTCCGGAACTTTAAATTAGATCTTTTTATACGTTAAGACATTCGAATAACTTACATAACCAAATCATGGATACCTACAGAAATTTGAAAAGGTATGGTTATATTGTTGAACTACTTCAATTAGTTTGTTTGACTGTGTTTAGGGGGCCAATGTGTACATTGTGTAGCTAGACTACAATACATATTTTTCCATACTCGATCTCTATAATGAGATATTAAGCTGGTGTTGCTGCAGGGTGCTAAATATCTATATTAAACTTTGGGACCTTTTATGTTTATGATAACTTTGACAAATGAGTTGTCTTCCAACAGCATCCAAGACCACCAAAATCATTTGGACTAGGTATGAGTGAATTATCAATCAATAAGTAACACAACTTTATGGATGCAAAATCGTGTAAAGATGCAATGTTAGGCTTCTTAATCACCGAGTGTTTATGGAAAAATGGATAAATAGTTATTGGATTAATGTATTGTGGGTATACTTGGCATGTGGTACGAGAATGGATGTTGTACGGTACTTTCTTTGATACGTAGTGCTATTAGGTAAACTTAGTGTGTTGTTTTGGGTCACTAGTGACTTTGGAACTCTATCTGGTATAGTTGCATATGAAATCATATGTTATTGTATATACATACACTTATAGTTAATTAATAATTATTTTAAAATTGTGACAAGAGTTCTAAAATGAACCATGATGGTTGTAAATAATAAAAGTTTGTAATTGCAAATCACAACAAATCAAAATAAGTTGAAAGATCACTAACATCAAGAGATATTGTAACATTTAGGGTTATAACTCGGGTTTAAAAGTTACAATTTAGGGTTACCTAGATAATGGCTCAAGTTAGGTTTAGAATTGGGATTGGGAATTTTGGCAATCTAGGTCGTGAAGTGAACCCGCCCTTTTAGGTTATGCAACCCTGTTCATGGGATATCTGTAGTACCTGCAATCCACAATACTGGATTGCCTAATTTGTGGGCTATTCAAAGTTACTTTCTTTCAGTTGGATGGGGCATGAAGCTTTATAAAGTTAGAGGACCAGAGGCCCTTTTTAAATTAAAGAGGGGTTGCTATTGGTGTTAAATATTTTTCATGTGCAGAAATTGGTTCAATGTGCTTCTGCCATAATCCTGAGAGCTCATGATAGTTGTGCATTTGGGCATCCTATATTGAGGTTTTGTATTGTGTTAGACATATCCAACAACATTCTGAACTTGGTATTTCCAATCTATTTTTCACTGTGACTTTGAGCAGACAACTGTTCAAATACATTCTATAGCTTTGTCTTTTCAATTTGTTGCTTGCAACCGCGTGGAAAAATCTGGTTTTCTTGTCACCTCAAAAACTCAATTGACCATGGGATTTAGTGGGTCAACCAGGTCACTCTTCTACTATCTGAACAGCTGGGGTTTCGTGTATAAGCCCATGCAGGCAATCATGGTTTTTTTTGGGTTCCTTTTTCCCGTCAGTCAATGTGCTGATCACTGCCCATTTAATTGGTAGATTTCAGCATACCGAATGTTTTTTTTTTCTTTATCATCTTTACTGCATATATATGATTATTCTCTTGTCGTAAGTATATTACTCACATTAGAAATTGTATAAAGAATCAAAGATATTTAATCAAATTAAATTCTCATTATGCAACTTTGTGGCTTGTACTTCAGTTGGAGCTGGTATCAATTTGATGCTAATGATATGTCAACAAACAACGCTAGAAATCCAATTTATAGGTTCAGATGTGTGACATTTATAAGAAAATAAAAAATAAAAAAAAAAAATACTATGTATGACACATTTGACTCCATTGCCCTGATCCATCTTTTAGAGGAAATAAAAAAAGGATCAGACATGCTTTTATCTCAACTGATATATTTTCTTATGCGCCATAGGCCTTCCTAGGTGACCATGAGTTTGCAGGGTCTATTTGGCTAATAATGGTCTCATCCTTCAAGTGGATGCATGAAACTCCAAACTACTTACTAATGAAGCCTTTGTTTGTAAAGAAGATGAGATCTTTCATTGATTAGTAGAGCTTTCTAATAGTATTATGTATTTGTATTGTCTGTTTTAATAAAATTGCCAGGTGTTTGGACATTGTTTTTTGAATGAAACCAGTGTATTGCATTTTGTGTGATATTTGAACCCAAGCGGTTAGAGAAACATTGAGAATGACCAAAAATTTCTTGAATTAAAAATTAGAAATGCACTAGATAATTAAAAATTAGAAATGCAGACATCTAGATGATTAAAAATGCATGCATGCATTTCTACATTGACTCATGCAGAATCCATCGATCACTAATTCCCATTATTTTCAAACTATATGCATTTGTTGCTAAGTTCATTTCTTGTTTCTTTTATTTTTTGATTTTTTTACAGAAAGAAATGACTCTGTGTGCATTGTCAAATGTAGATTTGTCATATTCTACCAGTGAAAGTTGTTTGCATAAGGAATTTTCAAACTTCGGGCATGTAGCTGAAGGTTTGTGCTATATATCTTTCTCTTGATCATTTGAAAAAGCAAAGAAAAGAAGAGAAGCACAAGAAACAGAATATATATATATTTGTTTTCACCTTTGTTCCGGGATATGTTGTCCTAACTATATCTACCGCCATCTACAGTTAGGCTTGTCAAGGATGAAGCCACGAAAAGGTCAAAAGGTTATGCTTTTATTCAATATACTTCTCAAGATAATGCCTTGCAAGCTATAGAAAACATGGATCAAAAGGTTTTACTGTGGCTTTCATTCTTGTTCATTTTTTGTATCTCAGGATATAATTTACTTCCTTTGATTACTCGAGAACATTTTTGACTTGGGAAACTTGTCCTTCTCTTGTGCCAGCATTTTGATGGCCGAGTAATACATGTAGAACTTGCAAAGCTTGGGAAGAATGTATATGGTGGATACCCAAAAACCTCAGGACCACCTAAAGAGCAGAATTTGCCGAGACAAGATGAGGCAAATGAGTGATTAGAAGTGCCATTAGATTTTCTGTTGGTCCTGATTCTGGAAAAGTATCATCACTCCCCAGATAAACATATTTCAGAGTAGATGGAAGTGACTTCAAATCAGGTTTGGGTGGTTGAACAGTCGATGGTAGAGCATGCTTCTCTATAGGTGGTAATTCTTCAAATTTAGGCTCCCACGAGCTTAGAATAAAAGCTTCTTCTTCTTAAACAATTATTTCCTCAAACAGGATTTCCAAGTATTTGCCACATGAATCTTCTGCTTGTTGTTCCATGATGGTGTCAATGAAATTTACTCTATGTAACTCTCCATAATACCCGAGTTGTCTTCCAATATTAAACATAATTTCGCTCCAAAGTCATATTTCCAAAAGTCATCTTCATAAATCAATTCCTGCAATTAATTAAGGCATTAGAGGCTGCAAGAAATGGTCATCCCAAAATAACAGGGATTTTAACAGAGGGGTTAGCAACTGGACAAGTATCAAGAATAATAAAATCAACTGCGAAGTAAAATTTTTTCACTTGGACTAGAACATTCTCTATTTTTTCTCATGACATCTTTACACTTCTGTTGCCAAGTTGGAGTGTGATGGATGTCGGTTTCAATTCTTCTAATCCAAGCTACACAAACAGAATAAAGAATGAGGTACACTTGCACCCAAATCTAAGCAGTGCTTGTTCTACCCGACAATCCCCAATGATGATTGCGATGGTAGGAGAGTCGGGACCTTTGTATTTAGGTAGAGTATTCATCGTTAAGATGGAGTTTATCTGTTTTGTGAGGAAAGCTCTCTTTTGCGCATTATCTTTCTCTTCACTCTGCATAATTCTTTCAAGAACTTGGCATAAGATTGTACCTATTGAATTGAGTCCAAAAGAGCAATGTTAATTTTTTCCTGCTTAAAATCTCAAGAATTTCAGATGTATCAGATAGCTTAGCAGACATATGCAATCTATGAGGGTAAGGAGTAGGGATAGGATAACTATTTTCATCAATATCAAGTAGCTTAGTTTCTTCTAAATCACATGAGGTCTCTTTTTCTATAGGCTTAAAGATCTTTGGTGGGATAGTTTTATCTACTTTTTTTACCACTCCTAAGAGTAGTAGTGGACTTCGGCTGTTCAACATTGTAAGTGTCTCAATTATGTGTTGACCTTTAAGGTTCTCTTAAGGTTGAGCAGGAATTTCCCTTTCTCATATTGCATTACCCCTAAGGTCATGTTGATCTTTGTGATATGTGATCTAATTTCATTTAGAGCCTAAGCAGTTGAATTGTTGATGTTATTCTAGGTCTGAATGTGTTGTTGTAACAAGTCGTCACTGTTCCTTTTGTGGGTTGGCTGGTAAGGAGGTACTGCGGGTTGACCTTGATGGCCAAACCTTTGAGCTTGTGGTTGTGGTGGTGGTGGGTTCTGAACAAACTCGTGTTGCGGAGTTCCTTGCAAAGGGACATGTTGAGCATTAGAATGAACAACATAACTTGGTAATGGCTGATATGTGGCAGGAGGTTATTGTAGAGATTGGACAGTGTTGGTAGATCTTTAAATAAAGTTGAGATGGTATCGCCACCTCGAATTTTAAGTATTGGAGTATGGGAAAAATGAATGCTTTGGCTAATTAAATGCATTAACCTTCTTATGCATTTCCCTACACATAAGAAGAGTTATACACTCATTCATAGGGTGCTCAATGGACTCATAAACTGAGCAAGGGTCATCAGCCTTGGGCACACTAATCACCTCGTTGACCTTTTGAAACTCTAAACTCTCGACTTTCCTTGAAAGTTTAGCATTCATGGCTAGGAGATCACCTTGATCTCTCAACAAATATTTTTCTCCACTGGACGATTGAGGGCTACCGATGATGTTGATCACTCAGCAGGGTCTGAGATGTCCCAAGACTAGGCGCTCTCTGCCAAATAATCAAAATAATCAAGAGCCTCCTTAGGCTCTTTATGTAGAAACTCTCCATTATACATCATGTTGATGAACTAACAATGTGCAAGGGTAATTCTCTCATAGAAGAAAGTTATCATCTACCATGGTTTAAATCCATGATGTGGAACAGAGTTTAAGAGCTTTTTAAATCTTTCCCACCATTCATAAAACTGCTCATTCGATTTCTCAATAAAATTTTTAATCTGTTTTTTCAAAGTAGTAGTTTTATGAATGGGAAAAAATTGAGTCATTTTTTTTTATTTTTTGATCCCAAGAAGAGATCCTCTATGGCTTCAAGGAATTTAGCCAAGTCTCTATTTTATCTTTAAGTGAGAAAGGTAAAAGTTTCATTCTATCCATTTCTTCATGCATATTATATTGTAGGAATATACTAACTACTTTCTCAAATTCCTTGAGATGGAGATAGCAATTTTCACTTGTCATTCCATGGAATTGAGGGAGCAATTGGAGCATTCCAGGTTTAACAATGAATTGGTGTGCATGCATCAGAAGAACAATGCACGATGGCAAGAAAGAGCGGGTCGGTTGAAAATAATCCTTCCTAGTGTGACCAGACAAAACAATAATCAGATTATTCGCACCATTACCCCCTGTTGGTATAATAATGGGTGGATCAATGTCATTGTTGTTATTTTGGGTAGTCATACCTACAACTAGTGGTAAATCTTGTCTAAGTCTAACAAGTCGGTCTACTTGGTCTCTACCCTACATGCAAATCTACTAAACCTAAGAATTAAAATTACAAAAAAAACAAGAAATAAATTACAACCGAGATACCTAGGCTTGTGATAAAAATCACAAGACCTACCTGAATACATCTGCCTCGCCTTAAACTATCATTCGCTTTTTTGGCAACGGCGCCAAAAATGCATGCCCTCCAAAGGGGTTGTATTTTCATGAAAACTCCCAAGCATAAGAGAAAAGTATCGTATAGTAATTTGAACAAAAATTCTAAAGTCGTCTCCCTAGGGAAAGAATTGGAATCCAAGGTGATGAAAAATAAAAATAAAAAAAGCTCTTTGAAGTTGAGAATAAAAAAAGCTCATTTGTCCCACCTATGAATAAGAGTTTCTACCCTAAATCTATAACTCATCTATTTTCATATTCAAACTACTATAGATGAATGATTTTCTTCTAAAAACTTTGAAAGAACTAATGTAGCTGATGGTGCTCGAAAATATAAGCCCAAGTCTAGAACCGAGATCTTGGCCTAAGGACTAAGGTTAAGCCCACTGTAGCAGAGTCTCTTGTTCCTAGGGGTTGTCTGTTGCACGGGATGATTTCTGCAATGGATAGAGATAGCGAACCTGAAACAACCAACAGGTTAGAAAAGGGGCTGGGTGAACATCCAGCTTATCCCCTCTGAAGCTTAAGTCAATAGGCATTTGGAGGCTTGAACACAATATTTCTTTTTCTCAGTTTAGTTTGCATACCTTTGTTCATCTTTCTGAGGAGTATTTATACCTAGACCAGCAATGAGTGCAGGGGTTTGAAGTCTCATCTCAACATTTAATGGCTTGCACTCTTATCCATATGTAATGAATGCTCTCCACTTAGATTCTCATGACCGGTTCACTCGGGCAATAGGATGACTACTTGGGGCATGCCGAGCACTTATGACCCTATCCCGGGTCTTCTAACTCCATCTGATCGGCACTTGACACCTACTCCCGAATGTTTAATGTTCGAGGAAGAGTACCTTAGGGTTTCCTAAGGACATCTGATTGGTGCACTGACCATTAATGCTTTTCAATTATGATTGTTAGTTTGTGTCTCGAGGATGTAGAGGCTCATTAATAGCCCTATCACAGTCACTCTGCTCCTTATAAATGAGTTGTCCTTAAATGCTAGTCCCAGCCTGTGTACTCTGCTTCTCCGAGCCATTACTTCTCGGCGCTATCTCCCGGCTCCTTTTGAACTCCATAACGGCTATATTTATTCATGTGTCGGTTTTGGGGCTGTTGAGCCGAGCTTATTTACCCCGAGCTGACCTCCAATTGAGCTGGATTATGGCTAGGCTAGACTTTAAGCCTTCTTATAGTCTGTCCTACTCTTGTCATGGGCATGCTGCTGCAATCCATTTGGGTCATTGTGCACGTAGGGGCCTCCTAGACTTATTGGGCTTTTGAGTATGGTAGCACATACCCAAAATTTCATCATTATCAGTTGCCCTCCAGTCCTATGTCACGAGAATGACATTAGCTTTAACTTGGGGTTAAAATTGTCTTTTCCTGGGTGGCGGTTGTGCTTAATTGCCGGTGCTGCCCTAGGTCGTGCTGGTTTAAATATTTGTCGATGTGATGAGACGGTAATGCTCAAAGAGGGATACACGTGTCATCTGTAGAAGAGCCTGTTGGTACGGTTTCCTTTGTGTGTTCTGTCCCACGTCTATCACGAATTAAATACTATTTATAAAAGAGGAAATATTATCTCGCCTTTCCCACTTTGTGCTTTTGAATTCTTATCTCTTTGTGCTCCCTTTCTTCTTCCGGTTTATGAGGCGCTCGTTCCAAGCATTTCAGCGATCTTAGGGTTTCCTTGCTCCCAGTTCCTTTCTGCTCTCAGCGTCTGACTAGGTACGTTCTCTTTCCTTCCTTCTTTTTCGTTAGATCTAGATCCTTTCAACACTCCTTGGTGGGGTTTCAGGTTTCATTTTTTGGTTTGAAGGTTTAGTTATTTCAGGAGTCATTCCGATAATTTTTCTTTCGTCTCGCAGTTTGTAGATCATTCATTGTCGTTGAGGTTATCATTTTTTAGGACTTGGTGTTTGAAACCTTTATTCTTAACAAATTGTGTTTTGCATTTGCCTTTTCTTCATTCTGGTGTGTGATTTGAGCCAACGATGGGGAGGGTTGTCGTTTCTTCTTCTAAATCTGAATTTGAGGAGCAGGGTGATGAGGAGGTTGAGGAGGTTTATGTGGCTTCCCTTAGTGGCCGTTTTGAGGAGGAGGCCTCATCTCCCATTGTTGGCGACATATCAGTCCCTAGGGGTCCTGCCGAGGAGGCTTCCGAGTCAGCCCTTGAGGTTTCAACCTCAGCCCCTCTTGTAGAGGTCCAAACTCCCTTAGCATTGCCCCTCATTTTTTCTGGTCAGTCCAAGAAGAGGAAGTCTAAGGTGGCTTCACTTTCTATGCCCAAGAAGAAAA